AATCAAAGAAAGATTGAAAGTCTCTCAAGATCGACAAAAGAAGTATGCGAATAGAAGACGACGACCACTGGAATTTGAAATAGGCGACAACGTATTTCTGAAAGTTGCACTAGTCCGGGGAGTAATGAGATTTGGAAGGAAGGGTAAATTAAGCCCTAGGTACATTGGGCCCTTTGAGATTATTGAGCGCATAGGAAAAACTGCATATAGACTAGCCTTTCCACCGAGGCTGTCTGAAGTGCACGATGTGTTCCATGTGTCCATGCTACGGAAATATTTGTGGGAACCATCTCATGTGTTGAGTTATGAAACGATAGATGTGGATCCAGAACTATCTTATCAAGAACAACCTATAAAAATTCTGGATAGAAGAGAGAAGGAATTGCGGAATAAGATCATCCCACTTGTGAAGGTCCTTTGGAGGAATCATGCAGTCGAAGAAGCAACTTGGGAGTTGGAAGAGGAGATGAGAAAGAACTTCCCAGCTTTGTTTTAAGTTTTGAGGATGGAACTTTTGTATGATATAGGGAATTGTAACATCCCAATTTTCGGACTTAAACTTTTGTGCTAATTTTGTATGAAGGAATTGTAAGAGAAATGATAAAAGAGTTTAGGGACTAAATTACAAGGCTTTAGGGGGCACGATTGAAAGAATTTTCATAGTTGGGGGCCATATTGCAATATTAAGGAAAAAAAAAAAACAGGGCCAGCTGCCCTTTCACGTGGCATGGCTGGAACCTCATCCATGCCACTCATCTCCCTCCTCTGGCCACGTTGAGGAGGGGATGGAGTAACATAAGAAGAAAAAAAAATAATTCACTTTCTCAATCTTTCTCAACCCTCAACCTCATTTCACGTTTCTCACTCTTTCTTTCTCATCTTCCCATCCGACTCTCTCTCTCTCTCTCACTCTATCTCCCTTCCAGAAAAAAAAAGAAAAGAAGAAGAGCTTTGATTTGCTTGAAGTGTGAAGGTGGTTTTGCAAGATCAAAGAGCAATTTGGTTTTGGAAAGAGGGCTGCAGCAATTCCGGGAGGAAAAGAGGTTGTTTGAGCAAGGATTCAAGGTAGGGGTTTTCTTCGTCTCCTTCAATTTTCAAATTTAAAATTTGGTGGTTTATTGTCTAGTTTTGTTTATTGATCAAAGGGAATTGTGGAGCATCTCTTAAAGTTATGAATTTTCTTTGATTTGGTATAATTCCTGAATTTTGAGGATTGAACTTCAAGAATTAAGTTTCCTTGAGGATAAAGGGCTTTGAACTTGGTTTATGGAGAAGTGTGTTGAATTACTTGAGGATTTTTATTTATAACCCCTGATTTGGTATATCACGTGTATGAGTTAACAAGGGTGGCTATCCTACTTCACCTTGGTCATTTAATTGTTATTTAGGAGAAGGTTCTCTAAGGAGTTGTTTTGTTGTATGTTAGCATTGAAAACAACGGGCAGCCGTGGGAAAACAGAGAAACCGAATTTCCCAGAAATCATTCCAACCTTCTTAATTAAAGAACCTTGAAATAGACATTTCATACTTTAAATAGAAACTTGAATCACCCCAAAAGGAGCTTTGTAGGTTAAGTTGTAAACTTTTGAATATAAAACAAATCTGTCAAATGTACTTACTGGACAGAATCTGTTCTTTCAGATTCTGGGAGTATTAGGCGAGGAATTTCAAAAGAAGGTTTACATAATTGGTAACTAGACATCGCAAGCTTCGTATAGCCGCTGGAATCACCTTAAACGGATAACCGTAGCCTAAGATATACATTTTGAAGTTGGGCTTAGTGGCTGGGTTTCTGCCGAAAAACCAGAAAAATTTGATCTGATTTATCATGAATTTTGAGACCTAAATGGACCCAAAACTAAGCTTGTGATACCTTTTGGAAAGCCCTAGATGTCTACCTCGCTTGGGTTCTGGTTTTGTAATTTTTGAGGCTACATAGAATACTTTGTGGATATTCTTGTAGCAATCGTAAAAGTGCCAATTCCAGAAATTAATAAAATAAAGAACTGAGGTACTTACTTTTTGAAATGAGAATGCTGCACTTAAACCACCTTTACCACCATTTAGAACAGGTTATTAGTGACGTGTGAGAGTTGAAATCACCTCATTTGGAGTTTTGTGGCTCAAGTTGTGCGCATAGGAAGTTTCATATAGAAACTTTCTAAAAACTGTCAAAAACAGGAAAAAACAGAATTATGATTTCGTGGAAATTGTTTTTAAGGTACTTTGAGATGTCGGAATGAGACATATGATAGTTCGTTGGAAAGATATACATGTCTATCTTGTTTTGAAGTTAATTTTGGAATTTTTAAAGACAAAAAGAATATCTTATGAATTTTCTTTTAAAGATGGACGAATCAGTGAAATTTCAATTTCAGGAGAAAGTGATTATGAGTTAGAAATTGATTTATGGCTGAGCTATTGAGCTCTAATGATGGTGGCCAATTTTTCTATTTTGAACAGTGGAAAGGAAAACAAACAAGGGAAATGAAGAGGGTTAAACGAAGATTTTGCTAAGCAATGCAGGTAAGTGGAGTTTGACTTTTCTGCAGCACTTACAAACTTTGTTTGATAGACTTTCTATGGAATGTCTAATATGCCGTTATGTGAATTTTTATGACATTGTCAATGTGTATGATTGTGATGATTACTTGTAATTGAGTACATAACAGCATGCATGTTAGGCCGGTACTGCCAAGTCCTCAAAGGACTTCTAATGTGATGTAGTGATTGATGAAATTGTGATTGAGCCGCGCAAGTCTCTCGAACCAAGTGGGTGATGATAGAGACTATATTGTGATATTGAGAAATTGTGATTTTGAATGCGCTGGCCGTTCCCTCGAATCAGATGGGTGATGACGGGGAACCTGATATTGTGATTTGAGATATTGGCATGTGGCCAGATTGTGAAAAAAGCCGGCGGCAGTACCGGGAGGGCCCTAGTGATATGTAGTGCACGTGCATAAAGTGTAAGATTGATTGGCATAAGTTACCTATGATGTTGCAATGTGTGAGCATGTTAAAATAAGTTTGTGTGATTGTAGCTCTACTTACTGAGCTTGTAGCTCATTAAAGTTTGCTCTGTGCTGTAGGTAAAGGTAAGAACAAAGCGGAACAGTAAGCAGGGGAGCTGGCTTCGTTGACCGCTGTACATATGGTTGAACCAAAGAAGCTGTACACAGATTATTTTGGGTCTGTAAATATGTATATTTTGGAGTTAGACTTATAAACCTTGGATGACTGTATAATTTTAATTGTAGCTAGGAAACTTGATAGGAATGGTGTATTAACGAAATTTTGTTTAAGCAAAAAAAAAAAAAATTAAAACACCATAGTTTTCACATAAGTGACAGGGGAAAGTTAGTGATTGTGGCACGCCCTAGGATTGTTAGCAAGGAACTAAAATATTTGAAGGAGATGGTATATAAGGGGTGTCACATAGACTCCCTCTCTCATAAATACTTTAATCAGCCTATTGGGTGAAAGAATCTCTCTAGCATAATTTATGAAGCCTAATAGGCCCAAACTAATTAAGCTCATTATGTTGTTAAGTTAAACACTTTATATATAAATGTTAGGGGTTTTGTCTTTGTGCGGTGTGTGTGGCAATTTTGTGTGGGGTATTATGTTTGTGTGGAGAGGCTATTGGAGAGGAGTATGCATTACTCTCAAGCCTGTTCTACCGGCGACTTTTGACAGATTAATGGTGACGCCAACGTTTCTAACAGGTAACTCACGAACATATTGTTTCTGATATGTCTTAGACACTAAATAGGGATGATTAATTTTTAACATTTCAAACTCTACGTTATTTTTATTCTTCTTATGAAAAAATATAAAAAAGCATGATCGAATAAGTATGAATGAGCCTCAGGTCATCGCAAATTCTTTTCTCTTTCTCCTCTTCTTTAAATGCATATATAATTGTCAGTTTTTATTAAACTACTGGTTTAATCATATCAATATTGTCATTATCATAATTACAGTTAGAACATTACAATCCTTGGTTGGAAGAATAATTATCCCCAACTAAAGTCTGGGAATTAATTAACAAGATTTTTATTATTCATGAACTTATATGGCAAATAATTTAGATTGAAGAACATTTTTTTGGACGGTAACTAATTCATTTCATGCACGATTGTTCCTTCTCAGCCTCCTTAATTTGGATAAAGTTTAGAAATTCCATTTGAAATCATGTCACTTAAGTCAACATGCCCTGAATTTAAAATTTACCCATTCGCCCCTAATGGCTAATGTATTATGTCTCTAAATTCACCTCGAAACTTGTTGGCTCTTAGATGTACCGTGCGATGCACGTGACAAGGGTAAATTTCTCACTTTTTTAAACCCCTAACTAACCGAATTGAATTAGGACTTGTTCTTCATTTTTTTCCTTCCTGATTTCTTGCTTTTGAGAAACTATTTTAAGCATAAAATTTATCTAGGATTTATTATCTAACTCATTTAATCGGAGTGAAAGCATGTTAGCGGTTAACGTCACACCTAAAATGTTTAAAAAAGAAAAACATATTTCAAAGCTGAGGGGGTAAATCTGGATAAGTACTATAATTTATAGATTAAAGGACGTAACATGTATGTTTTAAAGTTCGGAAATAAGTCGACACACGTGACACAATTTACGGGCAATTTGTAAGATTTATTCCCTTAATTTTTTGCCCCACGTTTCTCTTTCTCTCGAGTTCAATTTGCTGGTATGAGAAAACAAGGTTAAGTTCTCATCAATACTTCAAATCCCGAAAGAACGTATATACACGGTCTCATATTATCCCATCTCACTTAATCGGCGCGCAGCCATTATTCAAACTTAGTCTGCAAAACTTGGCTGTTTTCCTTAGTTGTAGTATTCGAAACCCTCACGGCTCTTTTCATTGGATAAACAAGATTGACTTTATGTTCACAACTCATCCACGTATTATCCCAAAACCGAGTCACTCCTTAAACATCCAAACCCTATAAATACCACACGTTACATAGCCACGAAAATAAATAAATAATATTATTACAAGACCCAGAAAGAAATACTTATCAACTTATTACATCTTTGTAGTATTGTGTGAATCAGTTAGTTCAACATGAAGTTGATTGAAACCCTAAGCTTCATGTTGCTCGCCATGGCCGTAGCAGTAACTGCTCAAAACCCTGTGCTCGACACCTCCGGCGAGCCTCTCCGCCGGGGCGCGGAGTATTACATCAAGCCCGCAATAACTGATAACGGCGGTCGCTTCACTTTGATCGACAGGAACGGATCCTGCCCGTTCTACGTCGGTCAGGAGAACTCGTCTGCCGCGAAGGGCCTTCCGGTGACCTTTGAACCGTTTTTCAAGGAAGAGAATATCGTGAGGGAGAGGAGGGATTTCAAGGTCTCGTTTGCGGCGGTGACGGTTTGCGTGCAGTCGACCACATGGCAGCTTGATGGCGAACTTATCAGCACCGGAGATGATGGAGCTGGTTTTAACAACTATTTTCATATTAGTCATGGGCAGGTTGAGAGCACGTATTTCATGGGGTGGTGTCCGCAAGACCCTTGTCTACCTGCTGATTGTAGTTGGTTCAGATGTGGGCAAGTTGGGGCTATAGTTGAGAATGGGAAAAGATTGTTGGTGTGGGATGGTAATCCTGCGATTCCTGTTGTCTTTGAGAGAGCTTAGAAGAAGAAAGTTTCTATAAGAAAAAGAATAAGTCAAAGTCAGCATTGATCGTATGTATTATTATTGAACCGTATTACAATAAATGGAGCTAACCAATATAGCTTAGCTACATATCCGATGACCGTCATGTAACAACAGAAAGGAAAATCTCCTTAGAAACAAGTTTGTAATTGTTTACTTTGGCTTAATTAAGATATTAACTATATATTATGTTTTCTTCTTTGAGAGATCGGAGTACTACGACCAAATTATATTAACATAACCAAGATTAGTTTCGTGTGAGTGTTGCATTATGCAACAGTACTCTTAAAGATGCAAATTTTGTTTGCTATAACATTGATACTGAAAGATTAACACATGTAGTTGATCAATATTGAATTGCTAATATATAAATTTGGTTCCTCGCTAAGAGTTAGAGATATACATCAATTTGTAAAAGCGGATGTATCATATCGATATATTTCATTTGCTATCACATGCATATTTCACACTCAATTTAAAAAACAGTAAAAGGGTTGAACTTTGGACAGAGTACTATAGTTTTTTTAATAAGTAAAAAATTAACTTCATTTTAAAAAGAGTCTTACAAACGAAAACATGCATAAAAGCCTAAAGCTATGCAAACAAAACAAAAATAAAAATAAAACAAGAAAAAAGCAACCCATGAGCATAAACCTTGGATTTTTTCACCCTTCCTGCTGCAAGCTCTAAGCGCGTATATTATTCAATTTTTTTGGTCAAAATATCAAAGATTGTTGGCTTATATGTGGAGATGTTGGGGCTTTGGTTGAGAATGGAAAAAGGTTGTTGGCTTTGGATGGTTCTGCGCTTCCAGTTGTATATGAAAGAGCTTAAAATGATAAATAATTTTATGAGCCGGATCTTGCATTTTATACGTCTACTAATCTTGATGGCGATCTTATCCAATACTACCCTTTCTTAGTCAAGATTGTTTTTTTCTTTGATTGTTGCCTATGAGCCGGATCTTGCATTTTATACGTCTACTAATCTTGATGGCGATCTTATCCAATACTACCCTTTCTTAGTCAAGATTGTTTTTTTCTTTGATTGTTGCCTATGAGCCGGATCTTGCATTTTATTTTTGTCATTTTCTTTTTACTTTTGCGTAAAATTTGAGTGGAGAGTTTAATAGAGGATAAGTTGGCTAGTGGGTCGAATCAAGTTACGATATGCATGCCACTCTAGTATGAGTTATTTTCTCTCATCATTTATTTAAAAAATGTGAATAACTTAGCTCTATTTTACTTTAAAAAAAATATTTCCTTAATTAATATCCATTTCATTAAGTAAACATTAGCAATTTGCTCTACCATATTCTCTCAATGCAGAGGAAAAAATAAAATAAAATCTCTCCTTATGAGCGTTAGCTAAGTAGCTAGTGTTAAGACTGTTGGGATTCGATTATGCTGGCATGTTCCTTTCCTTGAGTCATAGATTGATTGGCAGAAGTACTCCCGCTGCCGACGGCTCAAGTTGTTGTCTCTACTTCGTGGTTCCGTTTCACTCAAATGTAGAGATCTCTAAATTCTAATGGTATACGTCTACTAATCTTGATGGCGATCTTATCCAATACTACCCTTTCTTTAGTCGATCACCATATAGCTTTACTTGTAGAAATGAACAGCAGACAGCTAGTAATTTTGCTAAAATAAGAAAAGAAAACGCAATAACTATTTTGATCTTTCGTTGATTTCATGCTTAGAAAATTGTTGTAATTTCTGTAAACAATTTTTCTATCCTATAGTTCAAAACGAGCCCTAAGCAAAATTAATTATAAGATCATACACCCTAAAATCATTTCAGTGATTTGAGGCGTCGTAAAATATCATAACTATTGCAGAGATATTTCACCCTAGTCAAAGAATCCAATATGATTTCAGTGATTTGAGGCCTTGTAAAATACCATACTTTTCCATGTCATAGTTATCCAAAAAAATCTTACTATACGGTCGGCTTACGTTTTTCAAAACTTTGTGGACATAGAATTTAGAACAACAATCTTCAAAAAAAAAATAAAAACAAAGAAAAAAAAGGACTACCCATCAAGTATAGCTAGGTTCTTGTCCCTGCATGTTACAATCGTACGTAATGGAAAGAATCAATACATGCATGCCAAGAAAAAAGCTAATTTGTACATACGTAAGTAACTACAAGAAATCATGTTCATACTCTTGATTGCTTTGTTGATTCCGACATAGCCATCCTAGTCAAAATTTGGGCCAAAATTTTGGTTAGATTTGCGACCGTCTCACCAATGGCCACCAATAGTCAACCTCGGTTTGCAAAAGTACTTGTCTCTACTAAATTGATTGTGGGCCGTTTAGTTCGCTGATTTAAATTTTTAATTTGAGTTGAAAATAACACATTAGTTTCATAGATACAAATTCTTATTAAATAAAATGGTGAGAAGGAATAACTGATAAAAAAAAGTAAGGAACACATTCCCATTGGATATGGGCACCCACTAACCTCATATCTTGTACCAAATTCTCTACTCATACTATTAAAAGGAAAAAAAAAATGAAATATAAAAATAGACAATATATAAATCAATGCTTACGTCTTTTTTGCATATTATTGAGTTCTGCTAATATAACCTAAGACTTTGATGTTAGAGATAATCATAATTTATATTAAGTTTTCAATTTCAGCTCATTAGGATTTAAATTCAAATGCTATGGTTATCTTGTTAGGATCTTGTTTGCTTTGTATATCTTCCTAGGATCTTCTTTCTGTTGCAAGTTTAAATTATTTTAAATTAAGATAACATTTGTTTGTTTAGATTAGGATAAGATTTATAAACTCTATTCATCATTAATGGAAAAGCTGTGCCATATTTTTCCAATCCTATTTCTTCTATATTTGAAACCACTATCTCCACTTTTGGGCAAGTGTATATGTTGACGGTGAATTTTCGTCAACAAAAACAGGCCGGTTTACCTCTAGGTTTTCCGTTGGATTACTGGCTTAAATATAGGTTATATGTAGGAGTTTTGTACCACAGGTGTTTGATGTTTTTAGAGGGATGAGCAATTTGGGAGAATAATGCTTTAAAGTAGTGGTTCACTCTATAAAATCAGAGCTACGTCCACTGTGGTTGTATATTTCTTTTGGGGTGATTACAATTTACATCGATTGCTCTCTTGCTCTTTTCTCTCTCTTTTTGATGTGAACCCCCTTTCTGTATAGGGCTTTGCCTCTTTTATATTGGAGCTTCTTTCGCTGGGTGGGTTTCCTTTGTAGGGAGAAGCACTCAAGTACTTTTCCTTTTTAGGCCCAGACGTAGCCCACTAATCACTTGGAGTACTAATCACTTGGAGTACTGTTCACTCGCTGGGTGGGTTTCCTTTGTAGGGGTAACTCTGTGCGTACCTGTAACCCTTTTCTGTCCCCTGTGGGGTAGTTTAAGGGTTTGCAATTAATGCCTGCATTACAAACATCCTTCATTACTGTACACAACTTCCACTTCAGGCTTTCCCCCAAGAAACATTCCCCTCGTCGCCAGTGTTGTTCAGCCCAATTGTCCTTCTTAGAGGTGGATTTTATGGCAAGGGATTTCTATGTTGTAAGGTTGACGGTACGTCCTGTCGACGCTAGATGAAATCGACGCCCCAAGTTAGATTTCATCACCCCAAGTTAGATTTCTTGTTTAGGCTCTTCGCGACGGAATAGAAGGGAGTTCCAGACGTCGAGGGTTGTTGCTTTGCGAGGAGAGGTTAAGGCCACGTGTCATATTGTCATTCCTCCACGCGTCCTCCATATTTTCCCCCACAACAGTTACCCCCCAGGTTGAGGGTTTCTTTTAGACAGCCTCGAGCTTAAGTTCGGTCGTCCTTCCGTGCTTCGGGTGTGGGAAACCGATCCCGAGCCTTCGTCCGCTATGATGGTCTGGATGCTTTGAATTTTCTTGGGGAACGCAACCGTCGCGTCGGTCACTTTCCTATGCTGACGTGGGGCCTTATTTCGAAAGGACGAACGTGAGCCTTTGGATCGCGCCCCTTCGTTTTCCCGGCTTCATCTGTCATCGTCAGATCTGGGCGCGATTCCCTTGCCATTGGATTCTTTGAATTTCATCCGACGGTCAGGGGTCAAGGATTTCCTTCCCCTTAAATGCCTTTCTGAACCGAGACCATTTTTCTCAAACACAAACACATTTGCTTTCGTTGAAATGCCCTTTGCTCTGCCGGAATTCTTCCCGGTGAACCCCGACTCGCATTCCTTGTGTTGCTTCTCGATGATGTTAAGAGTCAGTGTACGAATGCCGTCGAGGAGAGAGATGTGGCTGTGGCCAAACTGAAGAGTTTGGAGGATGAATTGGCCAAGCTAAATGCTGCAGTTACAGACCTCACGAAGCGGGCAGATATGTCTGAGGCGAAGTTGGCCGAAGCCACTGGGGCGGTGAAGAGATGTTTTGCTGAAGGGAAAGTTGAGGGGAAGAAGGAAGCCGAAGCCGAGGCTGCAGCAGTATTTGATGCTAAACGTGCAGAGGTTATTGAGGAGTTCAAGGCTTCTCCGGAGCTCATCGACATTCGTACCAAGGATTTTCAATCCGCTGGTCAACAACTCATCGATTTGATAAAACAAGAGCATCATGAGTGGGACTTGAGCTTTCTTTATGATGCTCCTCCTCCCGCTGGTGATGACAACTCTTCCCCGCCTGGTGATGACTCGGCGGTTGGCGGCGAGGCCTGGAGATTTTTTTTTGTACTGTTATCTGTAACTTATATGACATTGGTTTGAACCTCTTTTTTTTTTATTTCATTTGTGTTTTATAAAAAAACAGTAGATTGACAGTAGATTTCATACCTTGCTCATTGTTATTATGCATTCACCTCTCCCTCTTGAAGGAGTCATTGTTGATTTTACCCCTTGGGGTCGTTTGTCTTTAGAAAATTCCTTGGAATTTTCTAAGTGTTCGGCTCTCCTCCTTGGAGGAGTTGACGCTGATTTCACCCCTTGGGGTTTTTAGAAAATTCCTTAGAATTTTGCTAAGTGTTTGCCTCGCTTCTCCTCCTTGGAGGAGTCGACGCTGATTTCACCCCTTGGGGTTTTTGTCTTAGAAAATTCCTTAGAATTTTGTTAAGTGTTCGCCTCTCCTCCTTGGAGGAGTCGATGCTGATTTCACCCCTCGGGGTCATCGTGTCCTTTTTTGGCAATCCGTGGACCTCTGCCCCCCATGTCCGTTTAATATACCTTGGTTTGTT